GAGAGAGAGAGAGAGAGAGAGAGAGAGAGAGAGAGAGAGAGAGAGAGAGAGAGAGAGAGAGATGAGAGAGCCTACCGAGGCTCCTTGTTAGATAAGGATGGAACCTGCACTCAGAAGGAGAGGTCAGCTCGTTCTTCTGACAGCGACTGCATATCCTCAATGTGGATCTCCTGACCATTGTAGCATTTGCAATTCCATTGCCATCTCCTTGGGATTGCTTAGGAACAGGAGGATCAGCTCGCATCCCTGCTGTTGTTGCCCCTGCGACTTGAGCTTGGACTTTCCATCGCGCCCGTGGCCTGTGGAAAGGAAGAAAAGGAAGCGTGAAAGTTGGTAACCCTGGTGAAGAAACTGGACTCTACACTCTCCCCTCTTCATCCATAAACCAGACACAGTAGACTGTACATCCCCTAGATGAAGTGTGGAACCACGAGGTCCTCATTTAGATTTTGATGGTATATCTAATATTCCACAGTCGTTTTTTCTTTTTCTTTTGTAAACCACACACTCACGTGTGTGCCCTTTCCATTCTGGGGGGCGGCAGTCCAGTTACTTATCACAGCAAGCAAGAGAAAACATTAGATGGAAATCAGGTCCCGCACACACGAAGCCTGGAAATCCTTCACATGGGATTACCGGGAGGAGAAGGACACCATTGTTAAGGAAGCCATCCGGGAGACCTATCACCAACTCTGGCAGGACCCACGCCATTTCTTTCCTGAACTAGACACCAGGCTCCACATTCAGTGGAAGCCGTGGAGGAGTACATAGCCTTCATGGCAAAGAAGACCCTTCCACTGTTTTGAGGTCCCCTATCTTCAACCCAACTTTGTTCTCACAACAGACCACCCGCCAGCCTCTCCCTTGCCTCCCTGCTGTCACCCACCCCAGACAGCCCCCCCGCGAGCCACACAGTCATCCTTGCCCTCAACGACTCTGCCCTTCCCCCTTCCCCCACCTCCCCTCCGCCCTTAAACCACCAGTACTTGGCCCAGCTATCGGCCGCAGAAAAAAAAGGAGTAGAAAAGTTTCTAGTCGGATGAATTTGGGCGCTCCTGTAGTAGCCCGTACGTTTCCTAAAATCATGGCGCGTTGACGGGCACGACTCTAGCGAGTACTGGTGGTTTAACCACCCTCTTTCTGGCCCCCCGCACCCCTCCCCCCCCTCCTTTCCCTCCACCCGCCAGCAGCAGGAGACCCAGAGCGAGGCTGATGCAGGGAGCACCTGAGATGGCGATTGACTGCAGAGGACAATCCGACAGAGAATTGCCACTCGACGAGGGAGGAACGGTGAGGCATCTGGCATGCACAGTATTCAACTGTTACCATTGTTGAGAGATGAAGAGACAACAGCAGCCATGGCACGACAAGGCCCAGCCTGAGGGAGGGGAGTGGAGGAGGGCAGCCCGGAATGTACAGCTATGGCTTTTACCTCCCTGAAAGCCAAAATGTATCAGGGTTCTGCTACTGTAGAACAGCACTGTTTTATGAACTTTTATCCCAAATAACTGCATAACTGTGGGCATAACATTTTACTTGGTTCCATGCCTAATGTAAAGGGACGCTGGACCCGGTTTCCGGCAGGTCCAGCTTCACACCTATGGAACGGAGCCATCAAAGAGCACTGCCAGGAACTGTAGAGGGGCTGGCTGCTCTTACCATCACCCCCCCCCCCCAACTCCCCATCGCCGATGTTCAAAAAAAAAAAAAAAAAAAAACAGATATCCCAGTCTTTTATGTATGCATATGTCTCTCTTTGGATGGCTGGGATCCTGAGAACAACAGCAAGCGCACCTTGGACAATTGTGATAGGTCAGTGGGTAAGAGCTCTGGTGTTGCAATGGGAAGGTTGTGCGGGTGAGTTCAGGCCACGTTGATCTCAGGTTGGACTGAGAGAAAAGGGGACTGACGGGTGGGCAGGCCTAGTGGAGTGGGTGATCACATAGTTGGTTACCTTAGCGCCTCGCTTTTTTGGGGGCTCGGGGTGCAGGTGGGATGGTTGGAGGGGGGATCATACCCCGGAGCAGTTGATGACAGACGTATGGGAGCAGATGTTGGCCATGCACCTAACCGAGATGGTGGTGACAGAAACAACCACAGCGACTGGAGAGGGTCTAGTTGATGTCCGAGGTATGGAGGTGGATGGTGGCCATGTACCTACTGATGATGGAGACGAGTACCTCCAGAATCCAGATGATATAAAATTAAAAATGACCAGAATCAGTGTAGTACCAACCACAAACAACTGGAGCGGGTCTAGTTGATGACCGAGGGCTGGGGACGGATGGTGGCTGTGGACCTGATGATAGTACCTCCAGGAATTATAATCAACAATGACCAGAATAACCTGTAGTGCTATGCATGCCCTGGGAGACAGACGGCTGTCTTTAAAGATCCAGGTTTAGCATTGTACTCTACTGATAAATCGCCATCATCATCATCATCATCATCATCATCATCAGCTCATCCTTCTTCTGGTTTTTAGGATGCGGGTAACATTTAGTCTTTGTCCTTAGCTTGAGAATAGGTGCTCAGGGATGGTAGAATCCGGGACTGACATCATCAGAGTTGCTCTGTTCTGTGCCCCTGGTTCGCCGATGCCAGAACGACGCTGGCCGGAGCTGGGGTGCTGCCCTGTAACCTGCAGAAGGCAGGAGTGTGAGGCCTTGTAGAGAGATCTGGGTGTTGCCGAGGGTGGAAGGTAATTCAGTGGTGAATGGGGGGGGGCTGTTAGATGGCGAGAAGAGAGCAGCAATGTGGGAGGTTGGTTAGGATAGTATTGTTTCTGAGTATCTGTTGTCTGGTCTAGGAGAGGAGTGGTGTTAACCTGGGTTTGAGAGATCGGAAGAGACGGAAAAAAAAAAAAAAAAGGCCAGAACTGCCGATATAGCATATGCTTCTATAATCCTTATAGATACTAATCATCATCATCATTAGGATTATCTAGGATCATCACCATCTCCACATGAGGGACGCTGAGCCCTGTTCTCAGCAAGTTTGGTTCGGTCACTCCGGGCAGACTGTGAGGACCCCGGCCTCAACCCACAATCTTAAAAAAAAAAACAAAAAAAACAAGGTGAATATACCCGGGTTGTTCAGCAGATGTCATAGGTTAGACCTTGGCCGGGGGGACATATTCGACACCACCTGCGATTAGGGTGTAGGGGAACACTAAGGGTCTACCCATGGGGTCTGTCGAGAGAATGTTTATGGCTGGCACCCGAAGTACCCGTATGAGAGGGCTAATTCGAACAAGCTTCAACCAGGGCTGAGAGTAATTGTATATGGGATGCTGGACCCAGTTTCCAGCAGGTGAGGCTCCCCACCAATAGAACGGAGCACCCTGCGCAGAGTTATTAGGTGCGGGTGCTCTTTTTCTTTTTTTTTTTGTTTTGGTACATCAGACCTGGTCTACTAGGGGGGGTGATATGAGCAGCCTCCCTTAGTCTGCCTATTGGTAGCTGCTCCATCTATTGGTGGAGAGCATCACCTGCTGGAAAACGGGTACAGCATCCCATCAATAGTCCAGTTGATGTAGCCCACTGGTTAGAGAACCGGTTGGAAATGCGCATTGTGGTATAAGGTTGCGGGTTCAAAACCCCGCAGGCTTGCGCATGGACACCGGCAGGGTGTTAGATTGACGGACGGCTGGACACACATCCCCTTGGGCTGACGCATGGTACTATTACAGACACTGCCTGCGCACCACCCAAGGGTAGTCCACAGTGTTGTCTGTTGGTTGTGGGTTTCACAGGGTTTGCTTGGGGTGTTGGTCTCAGGTGTTCTGATGTTCTCCCCAGTCTGGCATATCACACGATCATTTCCGGTAGCTGCTCATACGGTAGAGTCTTCGATTACATGCTACAAGGTCACGGGTGCAAGCTTGGTTCGGTCCTTTGGGGGGGGTCCTTGTCCAGCTGGCCCGTTCTCTCCTCTATACATCATTCACAGAGTACACATAGCTTTCGGGCATACACACATAGGTTGCGAATTATATATCGCTTACAGGTTACATACACAAGGTTCCACACATGATAATGTCTACATAGATTCACAGAATATATACACAAAAAACAGGCTGGGGAGCTGGTCACTGGTGGGGTCTAGTGCCTGCAGTAGGTTCAGGTAGGTTCGATAGGGTGCCATTGGGTGCAGTTCCTACTGACATTCAGATAGAACTGTCTGGTGGCTATATATATGGGGCCTGTAGTTCATTGTCTGGGCCTGGCGCCCGACGTTCCCGTTTGACAAGGTTCGTCCGATTCCGCTTCTGGGGTCCAAGTTGCCTGCCTGTTGGTAGGGCAATGGTCCTGAGTGCTGGTCACACTGAGGTAGAATAGTGGGATAGGGGGTGCGCTGGGAGTATTGACGAGAGGATGGGTTGGGAGGTGGTCTCATATTCCAGGACACCCACAGCTCACAGTTCCAGGTGATCACTGTGCACACACTGACTGGCCTCTACAACACCCTGGACTTTTTAAAGAAAAAAAAAAAAAAAAAAAGAAGGGGCAAATATGTTTGTATCACAAACGAAGTTCAAAAGGGCAAAAAAAACAATAATGGGCAACGAAAAAATGGCCTTAGTTCGAAAAGGCAGTCATAACATCAGAAGGCGGTAACATCAGGCCCTGAGTTTGAAAAGGGCGGTTGTAGCAC